AAACTAAACAGCCTACAGTATTTTTACAGTCTTTATTTTACAGGTAAAATATATGTTTATTAAATAAAGTCTAATGTTACAACTAATCAGGGATCCCTTTAAGATGATGCAGAAACAGTCGCAGTGAAAACAGTCTGTTTCATTTGTGCTTTTTCTTTCTTGCAGCCATGTGTGAGATGATGAAGATCATGCAGGAAAACAGGGAGGTCACCTGCTGCCTGGGAAGCTCTGCCAACTTCAGAAACAGCCGCCTGTTTATGCAGAGTGACCTCAGGTACTCTCCGGGGCCGAGCAAAACCTCCTAAAACTGTCACCACTGTGGTGTGTTTCAGTGTTTCGGCCCTGCGGCCTGATGTGGTGAACTCTGACCCCTGGTCCTTCACCAGGATGAACCAGCAGCTGGAGGTAAATCCTCATCTTTCTCTTGCTCCGCAGCATTGCTCTGGACCCTCTGTATCCGTCCCAGTGTTCATGGGAAACATTTGGCTACGCTACTGGAGGAGGACCTCGTGAGGACTCTGAAGGACTGACTCCTCTGAGACTTTCAGGGCAGCTGAACAGCCTGGGCTGCTCCATCTCCTTCCACCAAGGAGACAGTGTCAGCATCGTCAAACTCATAGAGCAGGTTAGACACGCGGGACAACACGCGCCCACTCACACTCCAGATTTAAAACTGATTCTGTGAATGCTTCACAGGCACGACACACGACCTCTGGCATCCGCAAGTGCTTCCTGTTTCTGCTGCAGTGTCAGCTCAGTCTGGTCGTCATCCAGGTGAACAGAAAACCCTTTGCATCCTTCAGAACGTTCAGGAGTCTTTGAGTCTTTGAGTGACGTTGTCCTGGTGTTTGTGTGCAGTTCTTGGCCTGTCTTGTGCAGCTTCCTCCTCCTCTGAACACCACCGACATCCTGTGGGTGTCCTGCTTCAGCTGCCCTCTGCTGAGGTACACTCTGAGCATCTCTGAACTCCATTTGCTGTCACATCCACATCATGGTTCTGAAATCTGGGTTGTTTCTGCAGTGTGTCACTTTTAGGGAAACCACCCGACAGTTCAGTTATGACCGTCGCCACCGGGAAGAACCTGAATTCAATCCCTAAGAAGGTACAGTCACAAGTTGTACGATATTGGTGTAGGGGTTTTAAACACTAAAATTAAACAAACTCTGTATGAAATGTTTAATTTCACCTTACGGGGGCACCACTAAAGTTTTTGTAGTAAAACTTCAGAAAAACTTTCCTTTTAGTATTCAATCTCTAAATATGAAGGCGTTTAATTCTTTCAGTTTAATGACGACGTGAGACAAGGAAATACACAGACGGAGACAAATCACATTTGGAAATTCATCCGTGTATTATTTAAAATGAGGTTCAGAGGGAATAGAGGAGTAAAAGAAGCCATTTTTGTGAAGAAAGACCGTCCATCATTAAACAGAGGTGGAGGCCTCCGTTTTCAGTTGTCCCCCTCCTATAGTGCGGCTATTGCCAGTATCACTCCACCCCCTGTTAACAATAGGTGTTAATTAGGTGTCAACGATAGCCATGTGATGTATCAGTCACCTGGAGGCAGGGCTTAAAAGCCTGAATTTAGCCTGAAACTCTCAGACTGAAGAAGTCTCTTGGAGGAGAGACGAAACGTTTCATTAGAGAAGAACCCGTCCAGAAGACCTATACAAATTTTTTCTTTTTGTTCAGAGGGAAATATATGCATTACAAGTCATTTCTCAGACAAAAACACACTTTATAATCAGTTCCGTAAACTTGATCAAGGAGTGGCATAATTAGTCTGACATGGCTACCATGTGAACAACTTTCTACACATATTTCAGTGAAATACTAACTCGCTATTCCTAAGCCTACAGTAAACAAAGAGGGAGCTCAGGGGAAGAAGAATGAACATTGATATATTCTGATCTGATTTAAGTCCTTGAACACACCATCAGATTAATTAATTAGCTATAAGAGCAGCTGGTTTGATCCCACTGAACGTGAGCATGCAGCTGATTTTCACGTCTTTTTTTCCATCACCACCATTAAAAAAATAATTTCTTCCGTGGACTCTTCACCCAATGCAACACTGATCATTGAGTGAAAAAAAAACCTATATCCAGTAGGGATGCACCGATATAAAATTTCAGCCGATATTGATATCCGATATAATTATTGCTGTTATGGCCGATAACTGATATTTAAAGGTATTACAAACACACAGATTATATTATACATACACGCACAAACACACGAGTCTTTTTTTGATACCGTAAATAAACAACCAGACCTCTGACATCTCTACCTCAGTTATTCCTGGCTGCAGCGTCAATATCACTATCATGAGCAAACAGATGCTGCTCAACCAACCATCTCCCCTCCCAAAACAGAAACACAAACATAAAAAGTGGGAAATCAATATGGAACGTTAATATTTGCCCAGTTTTACATATCGGACCGATACCGATATTCTAAAAAATGACCAACATCGGCTGATACCGATAATACCAATATATCGTGCAGCACTAATATCCAGCCATCATTATTTTGTTCATATATTTATATGAGTTGTGGTAGGGCAGAGGGAGGAATTATTGTAATTTATGCCCTGCTGTGTTTTCAGCCCGTTTATACTTTGTCAGGAAAGACGTCTGAAATGATGCAATCGTTGACCTGCTGTCTCACATCGTATTAAGATATAACCCAAGCTTTAGTCTCTCCTGGAGAACTGAGTTTCTCAGCCTGACTCTGAGGGCGGCTCGCGTTGAAAACCAACTTGAATGTGTCAGAGATAACTATTCTGATTACACACTGAAGAGTCACAGTATAGATTTTTTTGCTTTAATTGACTTTAGTTTGACTTTGTGTTTGCTTTCTTTGTTTAGACTCAGAACTACTTCCTGGGCTGTTTCCTGCTGAAGTTCGGCCTGACGATGTGTGTTTACCTGTTGGCCTTTGGCTTTATCCTGCAGTCCCTCTGTCCCCCTGCTAACATGGCCCTCGCTGACTCCAATTCCACTCGTGTTTCTGTATTCACAGTCAGGTACAGGAGGAGGAGCACCACCTGCTCCCTGTTCCTTTGTTCCACAGACTACAGCTGTAGTGTCTAACTGTTGGATGTTGTTGGTAAGAAAAGACTCACTGGTGTTTGTGTGTGACTGCAGCACATCAGCAGACGCTCCTCAGTGGTTCAGTGAGCTGTCCAACGGCCTGCTGCTGACTCAGAAACTTATGGCTGGTTTCCTTGTTTTACACACAGGTGAAACACAAAAGCAATCGTTGAAGCCTCATGTTGTGTATCGCTCTCAAACTCAAGCCGTGTCCCTTCTGGTTTTGAACATTTCTAGTGGTGATCTCCCTCAGCTACATCCACCGCTCACAGCCTCTGTGGAGGAAGAATCCCTTCAGCAACATCTGGTGGTGTCTCACCGTTCCTGTTGTGTGAGTTCAGTCTGCAGGATGAGCTCTGGACCTGTTGTCTGATACTAGTTTGGTTATTAAAAAACACTCTGTAACCCTCACCTCCTTGTTACCAGACTGCTCGGTCAGGTCGTTCAGGCTGCAGTGGATTACCAGTTGTGGCATGACCGGAGCAGCTCCCGGACCTTTGACCTGAGTAACATCCCAATGGAAGCCTGGCTGATGGCCTCCTTGTCCCTGCTGCTGGTGGTGGTGGTCAACGAGGTGACCAAGCTACACGAGATACGGTATGAAGCTTTTTTTATGCTTTTGTGTTGAACCTGCAGTGTGTCCAGTCAGAATATATCAAATAACAGTAATCAACATAAGTTGTTTTTTTTATTCTGTTTATGCTTTTTGTTAAAAGGTGTATTATGTATTTTTAATTCTTCACCACAAACAAGTAACTGTTACTTTCAGCTGTTCTGAAAATGCTGTACATCTCAAAAATATATTTGACTTTGCATCATAGTCTATCAAAACACCTTGAAATTGGTCTCTGTCTCTTTAAGAACCTCCTACCATTTCCGACACTCCCACTTCAGCACGTCTTCACAACAGTACTTCATACTGTTCAATACAATTCAAAAATGCTTTTTTGATCCCAGAGGTAAATTAGGTGTTGTTGTTACTCATTTAACTAAAAACTTACTATAGATGCTGATGGCTGTGGGCAGGAAAGATCTTCTGTAGCGGTCTGTTTACAACCTTTCGTAGGAAAAAAGTCCAACCATTTTGGAATCATAAAAAGAGGCTTGTCTCCTTGGCACCCAAAGTATTAAAAGCTCAACAGACGAGCAGTTCTCTAGGTGTTCGCTAACTGATGGAGCTAACTTGGAGCTGTATGGGGCAGGAACTCTGGTGGGGATTGAGTTCCAGGGAGGAGCTTTTAAACAAATAGGTGGAGCTTTGTAACAGCAAGTGTTCAGGCAGCTCCACATGACTACCGCAGGAGATTCATGGATTTCTCAAACATGCATGAATGAGTCAAAGAAACACTCTGAGTATGTTTTTAATGAGGTAAGGACATTACGTGATAAAGCCAAAAAATCTAAAAGTTTGGACACACACACAGACACACGTTTGTTCTTGAACCCCGTGGGGACCTTCCATTGACTTCAATTTTTTTTAAGACTTTACAGCCTAACCCTGACCACATACCCTAAGATTAACCTCACAGGTACCTAACTATGGAGAGCCGTTTCATTCAAAGTACAATAAATAATGAAAGAAATAATGTAATTAATTAATAATTAATGCTCTGTTTGTGCCAACAAAGAGCAATGTTGTATATGCTGTTAAGTGCCAGGAGGACTGCGACCAGTTATACATCGGGGAAACAAAGCAGCCACTGTTCAAAAGAATGTCC